TTACGCGCGCTTTCTGCTCGCGCGCCGGCGGGTGTTGTGCGTCCGTGGCCGCCGGTACTGTTGGCGGGAACCCATCTGACAGACCGGGTGTTGTTCGCCGGTGTTGTGGTCTCACCTCTGTTGGCTATCGCGTTTGATGACGTGATTTCGTCAGAATGGGGCGTCAATGGGTTTCGTGGCGTTTGCTGTTCAATCGACAGTGAAACATGTCCTTTGGTGAAAGAGCCGCTGTATCACTGGACAGTAGGACAGGACCAAGATGAATCGGCCATATTTTTGCGGTCAGAAGGCGGCAAAAGACGTCATAATCTGTCACTGCACCCCACCGCAGGTTGTGAGAGACACCAGGGAGACAATCGTAAGTCTGTCAACCATGCTCCCATAAATCACGCTATACCCTTAGCTGTAAGTGTCGTAAGTCACAGTGCACAGGAATCTTCCTCGAACCGTGATCTAGGTATTCAAATCCGGATATGCCGGCAGATGTATTGTATTCCGTAGCCCATCATACACTGTGTAACAAGTAAACGTTTACCACTTCCATATTGCATGCAGATAGGTATATGACGATTCCCTAGTCGTTTTTCTCTGGTTTTGTGAAGCAAATCAAACACGTGACCTTCCAGCTCAAATGGAATGACACAGGAGATGGTCTGACATCTTTATAGCGTGAGGACCATTTCTTTGCTGGTTCGCACTTCATTTCTAACCATGGGTACGTACATCACTAGACAGTAGACAGTATTACAGTACGCATTGACTACAGAAGGTCTGCAGAAGGTCTGGTTCCACTGAATCCACTGACGCTTATCACGAACCATATTTGGCACAATTTTTGCGTGATTTTTGCCAAATATATCACAGATCACGAGATGTTTTTTGTCACTGATCTAAGGACTGGTTTTGGCCACAAGTGCTTAGGAACACGTGCCGAAAACCACTAAAACCCCTCGGCACGAAGTTCTGATTATCTGTAGATTAGTGGTGAGCTGACACGAAACGCTTGGAGAACCGAACATAGCAACGTGGTCCCTCACATCTTTCAATGCGGTTTTTTTTTATTTCAGAATGCTATAAAACACTAATTAGATCATTACAGGTTTCGACAAGATTTGTGTTACTATGCGCACTTGGCATAACCTCAGTAAGTGGATGTTGACTAGCTCATAAATTCTAATCAGCGACCTGACAGGGTTTACAGGCCATTTGTCTGAATCTGGGTTCTGGGTTCTGTCAGGGCATCTGGGTTTATCTGAAAACGTTGATGCCATTATGCCACGCTACTTAACCATTCTTAGATATTACAATAATCGAAGCTTGCAAAAATCAATCTGAATTAAGACCTCCAATACATTTAGTGTATTGAACCACTGACTCCTTCAGGACATTTAATATTGCAGTTCAAAGCAAACGCTACTTCTAAATGCCTCAAACAACACATTGGCGTAAGCGCCATCAACACAACATGAGTCGAACAAGTTGCGTCAACAGTCAGGAAACCAAAGCTAAAACCCGTGACAGGTCACGAAGGGAAGTTCGCTTTCCGGGCAGCTTTGACGATACTCTTGTCTCCAGCTACACGCGAGAAGAGATGTCGCGAACGACGAGCAGTCGACGCGTCGATACTCCCAATGTTGAGGATGCTCTGGTACGACTCCAGTGGATCCACCACCGGGAGTGCCTCGTCGGAATCCCAGATCGCGGCACATGGCCGTCGCATCCTGTTCGTTCCAGTCGATGTCACACGTAAACACCCACGTCCTGCCACCGTTCCTCGTGAACTGGACGAAGCCGTTGTTGCAGGCGCTGCCTCCGTACAAACGGAACCTGTGACTTCCTAGTCTGGAAGTGTTGCAGATCCGCGCGGCACAAGTCCCGTCCACACAGCTCAGTCCAGGATGTGTCGTGGTGCAGTCAGTCTCACAGGAGCAGGATTCGCCTTCCGCGACGCCGGGACGACATTCGGTATTGTTGAAGTTCCAGAAGGACGTTGGACATGTGCATGTGCCTTCTGAGCAGACTGACGACTCGGCGTTCACCTGGCAATCCGAATCTCTCTGACACGGCTCTGAAAGTCTTGGATACGGGCGACACTCTCTGTTGTCGAAGTTCAACAGGTTTGATGGACAGACACAGACATTGTCCGTGCAGACGGCTTCTTCCGTATGAACTCGACAGTTTGCGTCGGTCATGCACTGCTCAGAGAGCTGCGGGTACGGTCGACACTCTGTGTTATTGAAGTTGAAGAGGTCAGGTGAGCATGCGCACACGCCCTTCGAGCAGAGAGTATGCTCGGTTCCACCTTCACAATCACTGTCGCTTCTGCATGACTCAGATAGCTTCGGGTGCGGTCTACAGAAGCCTCCGGCTACCTCTTGATAGCCAGCGCGACACTGGCATTGGCCGAAACCACTGCACACAGTATCAGATCTGAGTCTGCTGCAGTCGTCATCACCACGGCATGCTTCACCCAGGACCTGACCAGGGAACTCGCCAGGTAAGACATTCGTGGAGGGTGTAGACATGCTGCCGATGCTAGACTGTGATCCAGTAGGTGACTGATGAGTTGCACGCGTGCTTGAAGAGGTATCTAGAACCTGGATTTCGGAGAGTAGATGCAGCATTTGTTGAAGGGCGTCTTGACTTCTTGAGAGGGCGGAAATAGAATGATCAAAGACATCCTGTCTGTTAGAAATAGACGACAGTTTGTCATGTGCAGCCTTCTGCCTTGTGGAAACTGCCGAAAGGGATTTCAGGGTTTCATCTTGCTTGCGGGACAGCGACGAAAAGTTCGCTTGGGCCTTGCCTTGCCAGGCGAACATCATTGAGATCGACTGCTTGAAATCTTCCTGCTTTTCTTCAACGCCTGCCAGTGTCTCTTGTAAAGTGTCCTGTTTGTTCGAAACCAATGAAGTGGCTCTTTCGATGGAGCCGATTTTCTCTGCCAGGTCATGTCTTATTTCTGCAGTGCTGTCCTGGCCGTTTAGCAGCGACCTCACAGCCTGTTCCAGGGTAGCCAGCCTTGCGGCGACTTCGGTCGAGCATCCACTACCTTCCACTGGCACCGCGACGGCTTGAGCTGGGCCTTCGAAGATCCTTTTCAGTCCATCCAGGCGACGAGACATCGAGTCCAGCTTAGTTGACAGTTCAGACGTTACCTCGCGCACGTTGGTTTGGATCAGTGTCTCAAGGTGAGCCACCACGCGACCCATTACAGCTTCTTCAGGCACAGTCTGACCAGCGAGAACGGTTGCCAGTGATAGCGACGGAGATGGGCTGGCCGACACTACACTGATGAAGAGAGCACAAAGTGACACGGATACCGCCATGGTGATCCGGCGGAGCCACACATCAGCCGCGGTGGCGTTCAGGACAGCACTGATCTTTGCGAGAGGAACATGCTCCTGATAACCATGTCCCGAGTTCCGGGGGCAGGATGCGGTCGGTGGTTCGGACTGGCCAGCCGGAAGGTGGTAGCTACAATGAGGTGGAAATCTGACAGGATGTCCTCTGGCATTTACGGGTCCAGATTGCAAAGTTGGAAATTTCGACTGTCTTGCGATGGATATTCTTGCGGATGTCTTGGGTTTAAACTGCGAATATTACTCCGTACAGTGCATACCTTCTGCGCAATATTTCGTATTTATCTGACGGCTATAGGCGCATTTCAAACGATTTGTTTGGGCTTAATTTGAAAGTGTCAGTGTTTTGACGAATTTGCCAATGCCTAGCGTTTCAACGTTATAACGTTAACAAAACTCTGTCGCTTTGCCATGCATTAATGAGTACAGTGTGCACATGTATCAAGAACTAAAATCATTACACAGCGTGCATCACAAACAATAACATATTTTTGTAAGCTCGAAAAATATCCTGATGAACAGCGGAATGGGGAAACATAACTATAAAGGCACGTATAACATTTCAGAAACTCCAGTGTATGCAACATAGGTATGCCATCTACTAGTCGAAATTGCAATTAACTTTTCAGCATCATTGATGTTCCCAGGCAGCCGTATCTTGTTTTCGTGCATCCGTTTCTGCAGGTATTAGGTACACATTCGGGCGGCAAATTAAGTGACGGTTTTACGCCGGCTGTTTGCGTGTAGTGCGGTGTTGCGCTAGTGAAATAAATTAGCCTGTCCGACCTACCGCCCTGCAGGGAAATATAGAAAACGTGTTACGTCCAGACCTTACACAAACAACAGCAGTCCGAGCGGAATTTCATTTCCGGGTACGGTGCGAGTGGCTGCGCCGGTGACTGTTGGGCGGTCGGCGGAGCGGACTCGAGGGAGGCTGGGTGAGGCAGAAATCTCTGATAGAGCGACAGCGGACTTCTCGTCACAGTTGTCCTGCTGGTTAGTAGGCTGTGGGCTTTCGATGCAGATTCTTTGATGACGATCGCAGTTCAATATTGAGAGATAATCAGACTGGCCAGCCCTAGAGTTTGATGCAACCATCCATCATATTTCTGATCAAAAATGTTTTGCTTACTGTAAATAAAGAATGCCAAATAAAAGTAACCAACACACTTATTGAAGCCTTAAACTCATGTTGACGATGAATATTTTTAGCTTAGGTAACTGAAATGCATTGTTAGGTTTTATCTAGACCTGCAATGTTTCTCATGTTTACATCACTAAGCTTTGCGATCGCATTACACGTTTATCTGATGCTGCTTTCTATTCAAAATGATAATGTTGCGAAAACGGCTGTGAGGCACATTCCTTCTCCGCGAGCACCGGAAGGTCACGTCACCTTAGCGCCACAGGTAGCATAGGGATGACAAACATCAAGGTCGGAAGGCTGGCCTCTGTTGTATTGTGTTCAGAAAAGCACGAGGCTTTTACTCGTATATCTGTTTGTCTTCGTTATAGCGATTAGGCTGGTGTCCGTTAGGCTAACTCAAATGCTACTTGTTGCTTTTGCATACGAAATTTCACGCTTTTATTTAGACTAAACCGTTTCGTGATCTTCCTTCCGCTTTGTCATGCTCACAATTTCCGATCGTACTATCATGTATTACTTGTAGGTAGAAAATAAGAACAATACATAACGTACGTAGAGCACAGTCGACTTCATGGTCAGTATTAGAGTGGCTTATTTTCCCTCATCCCGCAACTCTGTGCGGTGAATATCTACAAGTTGCAAAACGCGAAGTTCGGGGTCAATTATGCACTAATAACTGACCTCCCGGTTCAGGCAGGTCAGTGGCCGGTAGCCGTCACGTGCCCCCCCCCCCCCCCCGGTTGGGTCTCGGTCGGCGTGACTTCAAAGGCCGCGTCCTTCACGGCTGCCGGCCGGCTTCCGGTGGCTGGTGGTCCGAGTGTGACTCCGCCGGAACTGGCACCCGCCCCTCCGGTCACCGGCACTGGGCGGGCCAGCGTGTACCGGTCACGGCCGGTCAGCACGGCACGATCGGTCCGGCCCTGGCGACCCGGCGAGATTGGGCCGGCGCACACGGTACCGAAAAGGCTCTGAGATGTGTGGGAAATACGGTTTCCAAGAGCCTAAGGTTCCCAAAGGAGATGGTCTTGGAGATTACGCTCATGTCTCCACTGCTACCGCGAATATGTGCTTATGGCATAGGTGACTGAAGCGTCACTGTATGTGCATCAGAGTTCACTGTATAGGAATTACATATGAATAATAGAACGGCTATTGCATTCTAAATCTTGAATATCATGGTGTAAGAACTACTGGTGTGTTTAGGTAATAACCCATTTTCCATGGATGTATGCCTTTATATTTACGTCAGCTATCAACCTTCTTGGACTTTTCGATTGTTGTTCTCATCTGTGTCACTGTCTTCTGCTGGAGGAGACCGCCAACTAAACCGTTAGGCAGTTCGACTATCCTGTGCGTGTCCTGCGTGCAAGCTGCACGGCAAGTTTCTCCCGATTTTCGATCAGTGATCCCTCTCCGCCCCCGCGTGCACAGCGATATAGTGCACAGCTCGTGCACTAATTGCTCGGTCACACTCCAATTCCAGAAAAACCGGCTCCAGATCCGGTGAATAATTCGCGACACGACCCTCGGCTGAGGGCGAACATCGGGGCGCCGTCGGAGAAGAAGAAAAATGCAGGTCGGCCGGGCGTGTTCGGACGTTCTGCTCTCGTTGCTCAATCCTTGGAGACTGGTCGACATCTGTTGGTCGTGAGAAAGAGATCAGGAGACGCGCTGACGACTCTCTGCACTCAGAGCAGCGACCAATGTGACTCAGTAGTTGATCTTGAGCAACAGCGAGAAGGGCATCAGGAATAGAAACAATGGGGATGATGGTTTCGTCATCTGGTCTAGATCTTTGGCCGGTGATCTCTGTCCACAGAACACATCTGAGAACTTAGGATCTTTACCTATGATCTTATGTTTCTCCTTGAAATGCCATTTTGCAAGTAATTGAATCCTAGGTATCTTAGGGAGGAAAAAAGCTGTACGATTTCTGGTCTAATTTCGCCCTATGTATGAGCTCGCAAGACTCACCCTCTCACACAGTACCTAAGCATTATGTACTCTTCAATGTGATCCTTCGAAATGTTGATAATGGTGTCAGCAAGAATATGATAGATGTCATGCAATTAGTTCAAATTATTTTAACCCGCGCCGTGCTGGTGGCCTGAACTTTCCGCCGAGTGCTGGGGGGGGGGGGGGGCGTTTTCACGCCCCCCCATCTAACTCGGCTCCTGGGCCACGTAGCGACACGCGGTAAGCGGCAATCGAAAGAGCGTCAAAAATAAGGACGAAAACACTTCGGTCATTTTTTGGGTCAGGTCAAAGGTCAGGTCACCAGAGGTCACCAAAGGTAAAATGTTGACTATTTCAACATTTTGGAAACTGCCAACGGCTATCTCGGGAACCGATAGAGCTACAGCGCCGCGGAAAAGCGCATTCGATAGCCCTTTTACAGACCTTTCTGAGTAATGTTCTCAGATTTGACCTCAGGTCAACGGTTTAGCCTCCAGAGGGCAAAAACTCCAAAAATAGCCGTTTTTACGAAAAACGTTTTTTCGTCAATAACTTTTGACTCATAAGCGCCATGACATTACTTTTGCCAGCATCGTGTTCCTCTCGTCGAGACGCGTCGAATGAACTATTCGTTGACCTTGAAAGGTCATTTTGAAAATTTGACCTCAGGTCAAGGTCATGACCCCTGACCGAAAAAGGTCATGTTGCATATCAGTCGATCCGTATCGTCGAGCTGAACACATCTGACGTGTTTTCACCGCTCTAGCACGTCTCTATCAAAAGTTATAGCCAAAAAACTGCTGGCGACCGTTCATGACCTGAGATGACCTCAGGGGCACACAGAGGGGTCACAGGTGCATTTTTCCTATTCAGTGTGTCATGTTTACCTATGAACCGATGTTTGAGAGCGTTTTGAACGATATTCGTCCAAAAGAGGCGCATTTCAATTTTCTCCCATTGACTTATAATGGAGAGGTCGCAAAATTGACCTGACCTTAGGTCACAGATATCAAAAATCCGAGATATACATTTTATACATACTGTTACTCATATCAATCGCTGAAAGTTTTAAAGTGATCGTTCAGTCGGTGTAGCTATAGCGAGCCTTTGAACTTTTTCTGAGGTAAGGTCACTTGACGTGACCTGGTGACCTGACCTTGAACGGCCTAGGTCTGAAATTTTCACAACATGTGCGGAAATGATGTAGGAACACGTGTACCAAAAACGGCGGCGCTGCGCGCCGCCGTTTTTGAGATATTTGCGAAAAACCTGAGGGGGGGGGCGTAAAAACGCCCCCCCCAGCACGGCGCGGGTTAATGCTTTTTGTGATATCCACACAACATGCACTCTCAAGGGAACAATTTTCACGGAACTTGAGAAACGTGACGTAAATGTTTAACTGTCTAACTATGTACTACAGCCGCACGGAGATCAAGGTCACATGAGTCTAAACACTCACGGAAAATGTCATATCAATCTGGCTAAAACACGTTAGAGGGAGATTTGGAGGTAAGTCGTATCAGATAGAGCCGGGACGTAGAAATAGTATGTTGTGCATTACCTCAGTTTCAGTGCAGCCATCGCGTCGTGCCTTGTACAGCCCTTACACCACTTGAAATTCAGTTTGGCCGCGACATGACTGGCAACGCTGCGCGTCTAACTCTGGCACTTCTCGGCGCACGTCTTTTGCATCAACAAGAAACAATATCTGGGAAACCTGGGGAAAAGGCACATCGGATGTAACTAAGAGGTACATTGTTTGAAATTCAGAATTTCAACGCACTACAAGAAGTCACTTATTGAAGTAACTAATAACTATCTCGTTATTTCATTCACATCGGTACTCCATTTACAAACCTCCTGTTACGTATCACCACCATGAGCTCCACCATAGAATGGTTCCATGCCGGCACCATCCTTGTTACCTCAGGCGCGCATAGTTGGGAGCGGGCAGTGTCCGACCCTGTGGCTGACGTCGGTGACCTGGTGGCTGGCGCCGGTCACCGCCGGGGCGTCACCCTTCTCCTTCCAAACAACCCTTCGGTAAACAATGATTACGCACAATGTGGCGCTGAACCCGACGGCTGAGCGTTTGGTGCGCACCTCACCGCCGACCTCGGTCGACGACCACCGACTCCAAGACGGGCCGAGCTGCAGCACTTGGACGCAGCCAGCAGGCGAACGGGATGGCCTTGGCAGTGCACGCAGCCGGACGTAAAAACAGGTGACATCGCCGAGACGGCAAATTTACAAGTTTGCCGGAGAAGGTCACACTCGTGCGGCGATCAAGATGAGACCGCCGGCCGGGAAGGCCGGTAAACAAGAAGAGAGAAGTGCGCAGCCCCGCTGCGCAGGTCGTTCTGCTCTTTAAAGGGCACGGATGCGACAACAAATGGTCAAATGAAGCAGCAGTTGAGTGTGTGTGGTGGCAGCGCTGTGATAGCGTCGGGTCGTTACGGGTTCAAGCATTTACGGCTGAAAGATGAGAGGGTATCGGGGATGACCTTGAGAGATGCTGTTATGTTTATTAGTTTTGGTGCAAGATGATGAATAGTAGTAAATGCCAAGAAGTGCGTATCAGTTACTGAGCGAGTGCATTACAAACGGTTGTAGCATCAAGCAAATCCAATTTTGCCCTTGTAATGAATCTCAGGTTTGGTTTTATAAGGTTACAGACTGCACTCATTCTCATCTGTTGACGGTCGTCAACTAAGTGCATACGGACTAGGAGCCATTCGTTTTGAAGATGCGCTGTTTTCTGTTGTTTGGCGTCTTCATGGAACCATCAACCAAATACGCAAACCATGAAATATCCTGTTGATGCACATTTAGCACAAGACATGCACGCACTCATGCGCACTTCCCAACTTGAACTCCCATAACTCCCTGTACCCGGGACACACCCATCCACCACAGACCAGAGTACCGGTCGGAGCAGTTGCAGCAGCAGCACCACTCCTAACTGCGTGCACTGACCTGCGTGGGAACGGCAGCACGGCGCCGTACCAGGCCGTACCAGTCCCGGCGCGCGCGAGACGCGTGTGTCCCGCTGCACAGCGCGGCGCGGCGTGCACGACACTGCACGACACAGTGCACAGAGAGTGCACTCGTGCCCGGTGCACTGTGCAGTATGCGCCTGCACTTTGGAGGATGTGCCGACCGGCGATTAGAGAGCAGCGGACGCTCGGGTGGCCCATGTCAGTCGTGCCGCAGCTGAGCGAAAACTCGTTGAGGGAATGAGTAGAGTGCTCGAGCAAAGGTCCCTACGAGGTCTGTAATGAGTCAGATGTGTTAGGTAAAACGTCTTGCTAGGTTGTGGAGTGAAGACCATGTCAGCAGTAGACGACTCAAGGAGACTAAAAGGAAAAGGAAATATGTATGTAGAGTTCGGTAAAGTAGCGTTCGATCATATCATAACAGTTACAAATACACACTAGCGGTCATAGCAAACCGGAAGAGCACACTGCCGCATTTCCACACGAGGCCGGCTCCGAGTCGTGCTGACTCCGAGAAGACACGGTTACTGCCCCTGCGACTCATTCGTCACCGTCTAGGCTCACGGGAAGTGTCCCAAACAGCGAGAAGGACCTGTGAGAGCGCGCATTCTAGGTGAGAGAAAAAGCAACGGAGCAGAGGGTGACGCAAAGTATATGTACCTAGACGAGAGCAAAGGCACCAGAGGCGAGTGGCAGATAAATATGTTGTACACTACACTTACGGCGTATGGGATCTTGTCAAAGTTTATAGCCTCTTGCTATCCAAACTGGACTGTGATGGGCAAAGACGCCAGCCTGTGGAACGCGTGGTGGCCTACGTTTCGGTTGAGGACGACAAAATTTTATTTGTGTGACGATTTCACTCATTTTTTTCTGTTATGAACGGCGGATGAAACCAGCCGAATGTAGAAAACACCGGTCGCACGAAACTGCTTTCTCACCGGGCGAAGCAGCTCGGTGCTATTTCGGGCGCAGGCTTGATACACGACTCGGAACCTACCCACGTGCAGAATACAAATGTCACTTCATAAATTGCCCGGTTGGGCCGGCTGGTCGCAGCTCCTGGGGCGATTCATTGCGGCGTTACTGACGGAAGATAACTATCAGCGTCGAGCCGAGCTGGCTAAGTACGTTCAGCCAACCGCAGACCTGCGGTCGCTCGGCTTTATTTTGTTCTGATTTGGGTGTGATCGCGGCGACCACTTACCGCACACCGCGGTCGGATCAGGTTTCTAAGAATGGAACAGTACTCGGCAGGGCTATCGTCGATCTCCCTGGCCCGCAACGGTGATAATGTGCACAGATAAAGAAATCCCCGATTTGTGTGGTAAAAAGAGTCACGGCTGAACCAACACGCTGTCATTGACGTTGCGATTATATTGTAATTAGTCCTGACCTTGAGGGGCTGTCAGTTTTGTAAAAATGAGTTGTCGGAAAGGATTACCAGTGGAACAATCTGATGCATTCATTATTCAAGCAATATGGCCTTGGTGTTTTATATATGACACAATTGGGGCTTTTCAACATACTTATAGTTGACAACATCACACAAAATAGGTAGATAAAGGCAAATATGAATACCTTCATGTCAATGTCACTCATCATAATTGTTTTTAATATGTAAAATTGATATAGAATAAACACATTTTACATTATGTCAAAAGTTGTCTCCATAAGATACAAAAGTCCAGATCAATCAATCACACTGATCGAAAAGTGATAATTTGACATAGTTATGCCAATGCGCCACTAACCTAATTATCATTCATCACCCAGCACGAAACATTATTAAGTGCATTACCAAACACTTTGGCAGTTGCTGGATTGCAACAAGCACCCCCTCCAACCCTCCCCCAAACTTCCCCTGGCTGCGGTTAGCGTGTCACGTGCAGGACACGAGCAGAAAAATCCACGGATTACTGACACTTTTGTCACTCGCCCAGTCGTCCGCAAATCGTGATAGTGTCGGTAGCACGCGCCGAAAAACGCCCAAAAACGGCAACCGCGGGCGGTTGAGGAGTCAGGCGATCGGTGATCAGCCGGCACGAACCTGACAACCCCGACACGCCGCGGAAAACTACACCGTCTGGTGACGTCACTGGATAAAATTACAGCGTTTGATGGTGTCATTGAAAAACCAGACACTAGCTGTCATCTCATCACATAAGAGAAAGGGGTTAGTTCTGGGGATATACTAAAACAAAAGGTATTGATGGACGCCATTGTTTGATGGCAGTGTATTTTTTTTTCTAGAATTGATCTTTTGCTGGTTGCTTTCACTCATTCAACTACTAACAATAACTTACAGCTTTCTAAGCATTTACTCTAATAGCATGGGCCATCAATCAGTAAGCTGTAAAATCATAATAACATCTTTCTGTTTGGAATCATTTCTTTGGACTTTGATGTTTGTTTTCGACAGTTGCCACCAATGAGGGCAGGCTGTTGGGTCATCCTTACTGAACGTCCTCCCATTCACAGGTCGGATGTCACCCACCAGGCTATTGGGACTGTGCGGGATCCAGACGCCCCAGACCCCACCATCTCGTGATGCCGAGCCAGCAATCAGTCACCCTCCGTCGGGGAGGTCGAGGGCGGGGCGTCGCCGAGAGGTGAACTCCCTTCTTGTGAGGTGTGCTCTCCCCACCCGGCCGCCGAGCGAGGGAGGGCTGCATTAGCCGACATAACACAGCGGTATTAGCCGGGTGGCCCGCAAAAACGTCACGAAAAAGTGACTCATAGTGGTCATTCACCTCGGTTGAGACGGAAGTTTGAGAGGGAGAGTCAGCGAGATCGAGCGAGAAGTTGTGGCTCAAATCGGGGAGACGCCCCTGTGGGTGGGACAGCGGCAAATTATGAGCTGATACTGGTGCTTTACTCGTTATGGCTCAATGCTGGCGATGTGCATTGCAATATGTTACTTGCTTGCAAAAGTCAGTGCATCTCAAAGACTGATCATTTTATGGAATAAATGTCAAATGACCAATAAGTCTCTATACCCAATATCATACATAGGTTTAGTTAATTCTTTTTTGAAGGCAGGAGTATCATACACGCGGTTATTCAATTTATATTGCATATTGAACGTGTCCATATCGCTTGCTTCGTCGATACGGTTGATAGACGAACTATGATGCCTGCTGTGTCTGTATCAGATAACGTCAGAAGCGACGATAACAGCCATCGTTCTCTTGCAGAGGAGAAAAGCTCAGCCGCGTCCCGACCCGGCGGGATGGCCTCAGCGGCCGTCACCCCAGCGGCGACCGGACCAGCTCTGGAGACCGAGCGAAGACGTCACTGACCCGTGCCCTGCACAGCTGACCCTGTCAGAGCGCTGCACCCGGGCCGGCTGAGGTCATTACCAGCCCTTCGACAGCGATTAATCTTACGGTCGCTGCACCTGTGAATAACGCCCATAGCCTGCTCCGAAGAAATAGCTCGGTCGATGGCCAGTGCGTCTATCCGGTTTGCGTTCTTGTCTCGGCGGGCCATACCTACCGTAGGGATGAGGGGAAGGTAGGTATGTTGCAAGAACAAGTTGGACGATTTTGTGGTGAAAAGCGTTAATGAGATTTTATAGTGACTTCAAAAGGTTGTTATGGTTAGTATAAGAATGCATTAATAGCACATGGACACAATCACCTACATTTAGCATTGATTTTTGCAGCTGCCCACTTGGCACTTATGCCTTAGCTGCGTTCCTAATGAAGTTACGGTCTACCTGCATTCTATGCCAGTCAACGTAGGCAGTCTATTACGCCCTACAACGTTAACAAATGGCCATCTTGTAATCCACCTGAACGCGGCACAGTATCATTTTCGTCCACGCTCGAGAGCTTTGCTTACGCAGCGTAGTGTGCGTTGGCCTGAGTGTGCGCGTGACGCTGAACGCACACGGCACCAGCCATTGCCGCTGCCCTGGGAGCGCCATTAGTCGCCGTTAAATCGGAGCCAGCCGCTTTGACGAGCCATATAATTAGACTGGGGAGCTCCCAGGAGAGCGTTCGGGAAGATTCATGTGAGCGTCGCCTCCCCAGATGTGATCCGGTGGGCTAATTGCGTGTCGATGGGCGCCGGGCCGCGCTGAGGCTCGTGCGGACGTCAGGACGATGACCTGGGGTCGCAAGGGTCATACAGGTCAAGAGCGGCAGTCGAGAATGCAGTTGGGTCCCGATATTGCACTTATCACTTCTGATAACGCTGACGCCTGTCCTTATGATAAGGTCAAGCTTAGTGGTTGGGATATTTTTTTCTAATGAGTGATGAGACGTTCAGGGCGAGGCAAGTAGCGCTGAGCGGTATTTTGAGGTCCTCTTCCTGGTTGAGGTACAACATAAGATACCGAATTTTAGCTTATGGGTATAGTTAGATGCTGTATTACATCACAAACCAATTAAATCCACTCTGCCAAGGAAAAAAGCATCATCTGATGCATGAAGTCATTAGCGGCTCCTTTGCGCTCCTTTGCTGTCTTTCGTTCCAGTAATCGGTTAAGTTACCTATATCATGAGTCTCCTATTATATCAATTATCATCATATTTCTGCATGTTGCATGCATCGTCTCATCCAACATCTGTGTAACACATGGCAACAGCTGTCTGCTGACGCTAAGACATTGAATAATAGATCACATGACGTTATCCGCGCGACGGATTTCCATATCACACTCACTGTTCACACTTCGCTCCCTGTTAGCCAGAAGTCGCCTGACGTGCATATTGATCAGTGTTTTACGGCTGGAACGGGCAGCGAACCAAGCTTGCGGCGCATACAGAATCCCACCAGAGGATCGGCCTCGCCTCGCCGATAAGCCTTTTACTCGGGGCCGCGAGCCAAACGTGGCGAGCATGTGGCCCCCAGCGGCCCTTAGATCTCTGTCACGCTCATCGAGCCAAGGCGTGGGAGTGGCTGATGACATTTGTTTCGCAGAAGTGGCATATGCCTACAGGGTGTGCCCCAGGAGTGCCCAGAGATGCTCCTTTAGAGGGTTATCCAAGGGTAGGGATCCGCATTCTACGGCGAAAAATTCGGGATATAAGATAGCGCAGTGATGCCGCTAAGGGCACAGTTGCTGGAAAGTTTATGCTGATGGGGACTGCAGCGATCAAATAAGCAGATATCGTAACTATCTTACAAGAGGATAAATTCATTGGGTTCTGCTGTAATTTATAATTGATGCTTACCTTACACCATCCCTGGAAAGTCAACGGCTGCTGAAACTATCGGTGACTGCAGTGGCACGGATTCGGATGGGG